TTGACTGTGCTTTGTCTTCTCTTCAGCATTTCTCCACAATTCTCTGAAAGCTGGTAAGGATTGGCCTTCACTATCACATTTATAAAGTCCTACGGCAGTTTTCGCTTAGTGCTCTGCAACTAGTTTTAAGTGCTTTCTCATTTAACTTCATGTACAGCTTGCAAGTGAGGTTACGATTTTCAGTTTTAATCAATTTCATCCATTCATTTCCATTTTTCAGGTGGGGAGCAAGAATGGCTTTGGCCCAAGATCCTCCAAGGCCTTGGAAGTCTGAGGCCAAGTCCAGACAGCTATTGAATGGCTATCAAATGTTATCAAAATGGCAGATTTACACACAAATCCTCCAACTTGTAGGTTTTCAATCCTTACTTTATGCAAAATTTACTCACTCTGTATGCACCATCAGATACTAGTGACTTCAATCCTATAATAAACTCAGAGAACAGCTAGCAACTTTCCAATAGCTAGTATGAATGTGAAAATATGTAATTATCTGCAGAGCTCACTAGCTCAGACTGGAGTGACACTGCATTGGACTGAATTGTAAGACTTTTAAAATATGATTACCTGATGCTATGTTTAACGCGGCGGGTAGCCGTGTTGCTCTGAAGCAGTAGAACAAAGTTTGAGTCCAGTGGCACCTTTAATACCTTGAATAAAACTTCGTTGGCCCTAAAGGTGCCACTGGACTCAAACTTTGTTAAGATTAACTGTCTTTGTGAAATCATCAACAGGGATGTCACTGAAATCAGACAACAGCATCCCTTCTTGACAATTACAAAATTCTAAATTCATTTTCTTGGTTAGGGTAGGTAAAAAGAATACTTTGGTAATTTGTCGCTTAGGCTAGCACGGATTATGTGATTTACTAAAACCACTCTAAAAACAAAACTTGGGGTCAATTTGCCCCATCAATGGCATGTGCAAGCAATTCTCACATTGACCTTTCTTCCATTCCAGAAATCTGCATGCCACTAAGATTCATCTGGTCATGCTCTATCTGGTTAAGTGTGATTGTACCACCTCTGTGTCTTCTTATTCAAGTTCTGCCATTAAATGCATTTTCAAATCCAACTGGGACAAGTGCAGTGGAGTGCAATACAAGCGCCCCCCCCAAAAACATATACTGGATCAACTAGGAATACATAGATACAGAGTCTTTAGAAAAAAACTGGGATCTGTTCAGAAACTGATCGTTCTAACAGTTTTCCTGTGGAAAGGGGAAAGACAGAAGTCAACCCTGAATGCAACTCCATGCCTAACATTGAGGGATCCCTGTGGAAACTGACAACATTTTCCCAGAAAGTCGATGTGACATGGTAGGTCCAAAGCTCTAGATTTTTAAAAAAATGAATCCCTAGTATTCAGCAGAATTAAAGAAACTTATCTTGGCAACATTTCCTCTTATTTGACCATTGTTTCACTGCAAGTACAGGCCAGAACCACTGATCAGTTCACGTCATATAAGTCATGCCTGTTTTATTTTTTTTTAAAGCCAACAAAAGCTTTAATGTTGCTCCTCTGTCTCTCACTTCACAAGGGCCTACACTATCATGAAAGGAACCTGCACAAACCTTTTCTTCAGTTAAAGCCACCTATCCATGCACTGACAAACCACAACATTTTTAGAAATTAAGCTGGCCTCTCAAATGGGGGGGAAAGACTTCCCCCCTCTAATTAGCCAACCTGTCACTTAAAAGCCGATTATCGTATTAACTCACTCGTTTTCAAAATGATTACTTCCTCTGAAGTCGATGTGCTAACAGGAACGCAGACACTACAGGCACGATGGAGAAGTGTATTATGAATGCTAACGTGTACTCTCAGGTACTGCATCCTATTTGTTCCCCAAAAAGCAGCTCCCCCCCCCTTGAACGTGTGTTCCATTTAACAAAAGAGGTTAGCACACAAAGAACTATTTTCTTTACATCGAAACAGCTACAAAAAGGAGAGTACAATGAAATACAGAAGTTCGTAAATGCAAGATACCATACAATTCACACTAATTTACAAATGGTTATTTACACTATTTTATATACAGTCAGACCTGGTTACCATGGAATCAGTTTAGTTAAGCCTTCTGAGAAATTTAGACGGAGGAGAACCCCAAGCCAGAGTTCAAAACAATAATAAAAAAATCCATTACAGTTACCTATGATGCTTTGATATCTTCTTGATCAATCAGGCATGGATTAACCAGGTCTGATTGCCAAAGCATGATGGGAAAGTTTTACACATTTCTGCTTTACATAAGCAACTAGGCCACTACGGTGCATAGGCTGATGTTACACAGGGATGAATGCCATTATTAACAACCTCTTCACAATTTCAGTACATTTGTTACAGTGTCACTGGCGATGGCATTCAGAATCTGCAGCTTAAAAGTAAAGGCAACAGTCACTCGTTGGCAAGTCAAAGCTAAAATTCTAAAACTCGGGTTTTCTGAAGTTCTCTTTTTTCTGACAGAAGGCCACTTTAAGAGCTTGGAGGGAAAAAATGACCACTGTTTTGAAAATAAGATTAAATCCATTCCTGATCGAAAAACTGGAGTCGGCTGCAGACATTAATCCAACAAGAGCTATCAGAGTGCTCACTCTGAAAATGACTTAAAACAGTGGTAGTTGCGTGTATGATGTGTGCAAGTAAAACGGAGTCTGGTGAATTTCGTAATACAAAGCTGAAAGGCAGCCATTAGGAGGACCAGGCAGAAAAGCCACTTATCTGCAGAGGCCTCTGTTGCCAGCACATTTTTCTGTTGCTGTTTCAAGGTTCAGATTAAGCTCAATCTGAACACAGACCAGTCTAGGCTTTCATTCTCTCCCTCCAGTGAAATTAAATGGATGAACTGCCTTTCAACACCAGCTACTAAGCCTTCAGAGAGATGCACTTGGACTGGACAAATAAGGATGGTATCCCAAGCTCAGTAAAATATTCACACCATGTAACAAGACAAGACAGCAGCCATTAAGCAACGCTGCTTAAAACCTACTAGCATCAGGAAGAACAAGGTCCAGACTTCCAGTGAACAAGCAATATACAGTTCTCAAACAATATAACAAGACCTTCATTCAAGTACTGTATACCCACATTATTTTCTGGGGTTTGAAAGTTAAGGTCTTTCATAGTCCAGTTCTGTAACATCCAAGTCTCTCAACAAACTAACAATTTTAGAAGACGGTATTAAAATGAAATACACTAAAAGGCATAATGGCAAAGTCAGATCTTGATAAGGAAGTCCATTTTCCCAGGAGCAAACCTATTCAGTTTTGATATCTTCTAGAGCTCTGGCAACATCTTTGAGGGACCTGAGATTACTTTTGTTCCTGCAACTTAGCCAGTTCAACACTGAACATCAAGAAGCTGCCCAATTTTAAGAAACAATAATAAGTGCTTACAAATTCACTAATCTTAGTATTAAAATCACGTTTGAAGACTGCAGCCTGTTATCTAGCAATTAGTCCCATTGCCCAATGGAGCTAACCTCGAACCCGGTGTTTGAAGTTTGTGACTTTAGAAACATACTATAAAAAGAACCTCAAAACTAGTGTTAAATCTGAGATTGTGGCTGTGAATAAGCCAAAGATCATTCAGGGATCTTTGGGCTGAGCTTCTCCCATCCATGTTCATTGCTTTATGCATTGTTAAACAAGCCAGGCTTTTTTTTTTTAAGGAGAAGTTTATTTTTTACAGAGTGCTATAAAATAATTCTGAATAAATACCCTTGCTGAGTCTGTGCTCCAGGCTCCCCACAGTATCTCTACTTAAGGTATATCCAGGCTTACACATACTGCGCATGAACACAGACTTTGTACATGTGGGCACTTGAGTGACCAAAGTGAAAAGTTTCAGATTTGGAGTTGATCGTGTGACTATCCAACTCCACGCAGTGACTACCCCCTCCCCCAATTTAAAGCCTTTACCCACAAACACACACACACACGCACTTAGTAAACATCTGGTTCACATTTTTGAAATTCATACCGTTCTTGGTAGGACAGCTCTTGGGGGGGGGGGGGGTGGAGAAAAAAAGAAAGCAGTGTTTATGTTTGTATCCTCCCTCTTCAAACACCATCTATTTCACGAGTGATCTTTTAGAGGCTTTGGGCTAACAATAAAAATGTGAGTTTGCTACTTTTCTGGCAAAGGAAATATGGACAGAAGTAAAGAAGTACTGCAGACTAAAAAGCAAATGCATGAAAGACTAGAAACCCAAAAGAGAACTGAACAGATCATAAGTCTCTCACACAGCTTTGCTCCCAAACTCTACAAGATTGCTCAACTGACTGTTCTGTTGCACTCTCTCAGTGTACTTTGCAGACATCCCTATTCCCTGGACTATATGCCAAAGCCTGCGATGAATTTTGAACAATCTTTTAAGCTACGGAACAAAATGAAGCTCTGGAATAATGGTCACTTAAAGCTTTTATGTGAAGTTAGAAGTTTCCTACAGCTCTAAAAGCATGTACAAGAACTCAGCGTGGAGGAGGTATGTCTTCCCCTAAACCAGCAGGTCTTTGCGACATTTTGATTGGTATGTTACGTGAGCGGGAATCTGAATCATTTTTCACAGTACTTAGGTAGAGCTTGGAGAGGTATCATTGTGAAAAAAGCTCTGTCCCAACCTGGCAGTTCTGATCAGCTGGCATCAGTGACTTGCACTTCGAGCCAAACTGATCCCATTCATGTATAAATCTTTGTTTGCAGTTTAAGAAACATTTATACTGACCACGTTTCTCATAAGTTAATGTCACTACAACGTAAGATGTCAAAATCCTCCCATCACAGTTTCATAGCCTACACCCCACCTCTTGAAAACAACTGATGAACAGCAGCAATGGAATGTTAAAATTCATAATAAATAATTCACATATCACGTTAAGAATTACGAGAAAGGATTAAATTTTCTCTCCCTATGTTTTATAAACCTAATGTCTCTATTCCTTCTACAACAGCAGTAAGATCTTCATTTTAGGTTTAACATTAAAAGATTGTTTAGAGGCATCAATGAAAAGCAAAAACCACCATAGGAACATTACAAAACTAACAAATGTTTAGCTTTTTCCATTATCTGTACTCAGACAAAAGACAGAAGGAATCTTATTCCGATACAGCGAAGTTTTTAGTTGTTACTCAGGAAGTTTTAACGTTATGACTTCATTCTTCATTTTGAAGTACTGATTGAAGCGTACAATTGCGTACCTATTTGGAGAAATAAAAAAAATTAAGTTTAAGTACCATTATGACAAATGTAGCCCTTCTCCCTGTATTGGCTTTTAACCGTGCATTTTAAGCTTTTTCTGCCATCTAGTGGCAACTTAATTTGTTGCACATTAGAAAAATGCCAGATTGATTCAGTAGCACTGAACAGGTACAGTAAATAGGAAACACTTTTAAAGACAGATGAGCAGATGTCTTATACTGTATCAGCCTGGTTTCCATTTCCTAAGACATTTCACCTAGTCAAAGAAAAAACTCAGCTGGCAAGGGTTAACCAAAGCAGCCCTGCCATATATTAAGGGTGCAGGCTTTAAATCATAACTAATACCATTACCAAATACTAATTAGCAAGGATAGCATGCTTCTGATGTTCACAGCACATCACATAAATATATCAAATATTCAACGTGGCCCCATCTGGGGATGCCTAAATCCAAAGACTGGGGCCATGATCACACAAGACAGTTCTTTCTACAACCCTGAGAAAAGCCCAGGGTTCACAGAAAAAAATCAGAAACCTTACTCGCCCCCAAAACGGGGGTTTAAAAAAACCACCAAAATGATAAAAGAAGCAATAGTAGCTTTAAGAACAGATGCTCTCAGTGACTGCTGCTAGGCAACCAAAACAGTATTACAAGCCTTCAAGCCTTGGTCTCTGTCAGGAAAGGGCAATAGAAGGGGGCAAGGAGGATTATAGATCTTCTAATGCTATAACCAATTAATATAGTGGAAGCCAATTTTAACTGGCAAGACTGAACAAAATGCACACTTGCTCATTTGTAACTGGTGGTCTTCCTTCCAACTGTTCCAGAGTTCATACAATGCCAATCATAGGTTGTTGCTCTACATGTGTCCTCCTCCCCTTCTGCATTACAATCCTCTTCCCCTGTTCCTGTTTGGAGGGCAGCACATCATAGTTTCCCAGTAAAGACATTATGGAAAACTATGGGCTGCCTTCAAACTTGAGAGGAGGGAGGGGACTGCACACGAAGAGTGAAAGGATGGAACACATGAGCTAAAGAATAATTTCAGTATGATCACATAGCAACAAACCATGGTTTACAATTACACCCAAACACATGGAGACATGCAGGCAGCGGAGGGGGAATCCCATTCACTTGTCAGGCAACTCATCACTACCCCTTGTGGAAGGGAAGAATTTTGCTTGGCCATCCCCTGGCCCATCTGCTCCCTGGTCCAGTGGTGGGGGCTCCCCCTTCCTCAACTGCCTCCAGAACTGCAACTTCAGTAGTGGTTTCAGCATGAATGGGATGCTGGAGGGTCTCAGAGATGCCCCACCCACTTCAAGCACTGCAGCCGCAGGGGGGGGGGAGACACAGCTGAGGCTTCCACTCCTTATTGCCCAGCCCATCTGTGTGACTCCAACGAAGCGACCTGGCTACCCACACATCCTCCTTGCCACTGGGAGATAGGAGTTGCTCCTGGTCTCCCTCCACCACCTGCCTGCCTAAAGTGTGAGGTGTGAGCAGATCCTGCTCCTCCACACCCATCCACAACACCATCACCTCACTGGTGGGACGACAGCTCCTCCTGCTCCTCCCTACCCACTGGCCAGCCTCCATAGAACAGGTGAGGATGGACTGCGTAAGGACATACTGGGTCACCTGGCTCTTCCTCCTCTCCCTGCAACTGTTACGGTGACATAATGTGAGGTTACACTGTTATGTTCCTCTATTTGGGGTGGGAGGTGTTACATTTTTAAATTTTCAGATTTCCCCCCAAGTTTGCTGAAAAATCTCACTTCTATATAGATGACCCTGATCCACCGATTCAAGTAATCACAGATGTGGCCATGTTGAAAACTAAATATACTGATAAAGGGTGATGGCTTTAGTGTGTTAAATTCTAAGTTTCAATTTTCTTCAAAAGTAAGGACAGCATAGGCAGTGAAGGGGAAAAGGGGAGAAAGGGGAGGAATTACAGATGTGAAGCCCCTGGAGGGGGGGGGGAAATCAGGAAACCATTTTTTCCCCTAGGGCTTCTCCTCTCCCTTCCTTCCAATGGAAAAATCAGGAAGCACTAAAAAAACTTCTATGAAAATTCCCCTTCCAGAATGACTGAAGTGCTTCTAAAGGGTTTACTCAAAATGTGCAACATGAAAAATCTAAGGCCTTTCTCCCTGTTTTTCTGAAGGAAAAACTGGAGAAAGTTGGGGAGCAGTAAAAAAACCTTTGTACTACAAAATTATCAACTGTTCTTTTCCTCTGCTTCTCCGGTGGCAAAAACATAAAATACATGTCCTAAGAGAGGCAGCTGTTTCAATTTTCTCTCTCTCTCAGGTACTAGGTCTACCTTCCAAGCTTGCTTGTAGAGAACAAAGACATTTACACTTTTAAATTCCATAAATATGTCAATTCGTACAACTGTATGTGTTAACTAAGTTACAAATTATGCATTTTATGTTGTTGAAGAAGCAAAGCTTAGGTTTGATAGGAAAGTACTGCATCTATTTCAATTTCCCCTAGCATTTCTGGTTATGCCCCCCAAACCCCAAGAACCCAGAATCCCCCACAGCTTCATAATTTCTGGACATTTTTCATCTGCAAGAGGAAGGTGAACAAATGCAATTCTTGGCATCTATCAAGGCTTTGGTTTTAAGAAAATATATTTTAATGAATTAGCCAGTTAAATGGTAGGTGGTTATTCAACTCACCTAACAGCTCTAGACAATATTTCAGAAACAAAATGAGTACTTCAGGCAACAAAATCCTCCATCTCAGACTTGGAAGCACAGTTGCCCAAGGGTGGGTGTTCACAAAATCAGTATCGAAACCAGAAGTTCATGGGCAGATTTACAGATGGTACACTTACCCTAAAAAGTCAAATTCAATGGTGGAGTATTTCGCTTGAATCAGGGCCCATAATCCCCAGAAGAAGTGAGAGGCCTGCAGTTCAAAAGAAAAGTGAAGGATTGACAAAAAGTTACATCACAGTACCAATGAAGATCTCAAATAAGGACTGCACTCAGATTGAATTGGCAACTTCTGCCAATTCCCTTTCCAACTGGCTGACCCTCTCACCATTTCTTACAGCCCCCCACCCTTCAGGAACATCATGTTTTTGGGATCGGTGGGCTACAGTGGGATAAGGAAAAGAAGGAAAGTTCCATTCTGCTGTTGGAAAATTTAGTCTGGGATCCAACCCTAAAAGTGGTATCAATTTTATTTGCTGTTCTGAGACTAGTATGCACAGCAAAATAAAAATCTTTAAATACTTTGACTGTTTTTAAGATCTTGGGAGTTTATGATCACCCCCCACCAACCTTCCAGGCCACCTTGGAAAAGACACCAAAGGTCACCACGGCCAATGATGGCAATAGGACTTGTCTTTGATCCCTTTAGAACTTGACACTACTTTGAAACTTCTTCTTCCTCAAATAGGCTTTGAAGGCTTCTTTAGGCTTTGTATAATGCCAACAGAGAATACAGTATTACTGAATAAATTCATTATTGTTTTAAGTCACTTAAAAAACCCTCCGAAGTCCATTTTATACCTCAATCACTTCGCAATACAGGTTGTAGGCATATGATACATGTCAAATGGAAGTTTAGGATGATATTAAGCTAAATTGTGCTTAACCCAAATTTGGAACTTACAAAGTATTTGTTTTGTGGCCACCCATACTGCAAGCAACACATATTTAAATTTCCCTAGGTAAAACCTGAGACCAGAGAGGTAAATTACTTCCTACACTACTTATAGAACCATAGTTTTTATTTTGCGGTGTCTTAAAGTGTTGTACATCTGGAAACCTTTCAAAACAAAGCCATGCCAATGCCTTCCTCTCCTACAAAGCATGTGCTTCTGTGTTTAGTACTATGCTCAACATGGTTCCTGTTTCTTCTAATGTAATCTCCTACATAATGATGTTTAGTAAACACTGAAGATCTATTTCAGGCAGCTTGCTCATGTGTGGCCTGCAAATCAGATGGGCCAGCCCCAACCCCTTCACAAAATTCCATTCCCTGAAGCACAAACATTGCAATTGATAACACAGTGTCACAGTTACACGGACAACCAGCAGTTTCCCAAGCTAGATCTGCAAATATATCAATTAAAATTAAGGAAATAGCTATATATAACCTGACAGCTTGCCCCAACAACATTTTCTGGACGAAAGATGTAGTCTCATCCCACCCAGTAAAGCCTCTAGCACTGAACCAAGAACAACCACGTCTGCTCACATGGATATTAGGCCCAGCAGCCTGAAAAAGGGCAAGAGATAGCTAGACTGTGATCAGATATCATGATATACACAGTCCTGCTTCGTCTACTATAAAGCGCCCAAGAGAACATATTTGTTTATATATCCCAGTCAATCCCCACGCTGCCATGGAAGCTCACTGACTGACCGTGGGCCACTCACACACTCCCAGCCGCCTAATCTACCCCACAGGGTTGTTGTGAGGTTAAAATGGAGGAGAGGAGAACGATGTAAGCTGCTTTGGGTCTCCATTGGGCAGAAAGGTAGGCTATAAATAAAGTAAACAAGTAAAATAAAATAAATAATCTGCTGCTTGTCTCCTTTCCTGCCCCCAGGCAGGATACCTAGATAACCATCCCAAGGTCTCGTGTGTTGGTGGGCTCCTGGCCATGCCTTACCACGCACACAGTCCACTCTCCATTCACTGGCTGATAGGGATGTGCATTTCGGGATCCCGAGCCGGAAAAAAAGCCGAAAATAACGGTTTTTAGCTTTTTTCGGCTTTCGGGATCCCGAATTAGCAATTTATGCACTTGTCCGAATCCCGGAAAAAAATCCCGAAAAAATTCGGGAATCCCGAAAAAATTCGGGTCCATTATAACCAATGGGGCCATTGAAGTCAATGGCAAAAATCTTCTTGAAAAGTTGTGGGGGGCTGGGGGGGAGAGGGTTTGGGGTAGAGGCTCCAAACTTGGAGCGTGCTTACTGGAACCTCTCCTCAACATACCCACCAAGTTTCAAGACGATTGGACCAGGGGGTACAATTTTATGGGCCCCCAAACAGGTTGCCCCCAGATCAGCTTGCTGCAGTTTATTCCCGGTTTGCCACCGAACTTCGGCGGCAATTCAGCAACATTGTATCCTATGGACCTTGGAGTGGGTAAGCTCCAAACTTGGAGGGTGGTTACTAGAACCTCTTCCCTACATACCCACCAAGTTTCATGAAGATTGGACCAGGGGGGTCCAATTCTATGGTT